ACAAGTGATGGCGGCATTCTTAACAATTATGCCAAAAACCCTGGTGTAAAAGCAGGACACCTGGCCATCCCAGTTATCAATGGGTAATTGCACAAGAAGAAAGGAGAGCCAGGGATTGCCTATGGCAGAAATTATAGCCAGGATCTTGGGTAAAGATTTCTGAATGAAATCAAAAGTAGAAATTACTAAAGTAGTCGCTCCTAACTGGGGGTGATTTTAGTCCCCAGGGAACATTTGGCAATGTCTGAAGACATTTTCAGTTGTCACAAGTTGGAGGAGGAGTGCCACTGGTGTCCAGTGGGTACAGGTGGAAGTGCTGGGAAACACCCTACAAAGCACAGGACAGCCACACACAGTGGAGTTATACAGTCTACACTGTTAAGCATGCTGGATGGGAAATTATTACCATTTCTTTATTAAATTGGTATTAAATGAAATGAAAAGCTCTCACCACATAAACATATGAAACATCTGCACATCTACATCTGTATAAAAATTAACTGCAAGATGAAAACTGCAGAAAATTAGGTACCTGATAAGACAAAGAGTTAAAAATTCAATCTACATACAGCGAGAGCCCTTAGACAAAAACAACCCCATAGCAAAGCAGGCAAAACTCACTAGCAAACAACTGGCAAAAAATAACCCAAATGGTCAATAAACACTAAAAAATAAATAAACCCCACTGCACAAGTAATCAAAGCAACTTTAATTAAAATTACATTTCTGATGTTACCTAACACAGCCAAGATTTTCTAATTCACAGTGTTGGTGATTAGCACTTTAACAAACTGTAAAACAAACAAACAAACAAACAAAGCAACTGTAGTTCCAGTTACTTGGAAGTCTGAGGTGGAAGGATCGCCTAAGCCCAGCAGGTCAAGGCTGTAGTGGTTGTAAGCATGCCACTGCACTCCAGCCTGGGCGACAGAGTGAGACTCCTACTCAATAAACAAACAAACAAAATGCCTAGGAAGACATTTAGCTACACTTATAATAGGTGGTTTTTTAAAATTTTAACTTTTTATTCTGAAAATTATGTATCTTTTGACACAATCACATGCTTTTAGACAACTTTAGAAAGAAGGAAATACGTGTGCAAAGTTTAACTACAGGAATTTCAGTTCAACACTGTTTACATAGGCAAATAATTAGAATTCCCCAAAACGTCAAATGAGGAGAAACCAGATTTAACAAATCAAGATATATCAAAATACAACCCTTAAAATCATGCTATACAAAATACTGGCATGGAAGGATTCCACAACATACCATTATATGGAAAAATACACCCAAACTACATATCTTATATAATCATTTCAGAGATATATATGAGAAGATGTGTATATCTGTGTGAAAAAAGTTTATAGTAATATAAACCAAAATGTTAACAAGTGGATCGATCTGGGTCGTAGGATACAAGCAACATGAAGGCAGGAATTTTTGTATGTTCCCTGATGAAACACAACACATACAGCAATGCATGGCATAAGGGAAAAGTAAAATAAAAATTGATATTGGCATTTTTGCTTATTTGTGTTTTTTCACTGATCTGCAATAAAGACATTATTTGTATAATAAATTTTTTTAAAGTTGTTTAAAGAATAATTCAATGGTAAAACAAAATGTTTTACAAATAGAAATGAAAAAAATGCCATCTACTTTACAGGGTTGTAAGGTTTAAAAAATAAATTATGTAAATACGTTCTGTAAACTCTACAGCACTGTATGAATATAACAAATTAGCTATTTTGTTAAGATCATACATTCTAAAGTTAAACCAGTTTCATATGTGCTCTAGCTGGTAGCCTTTCTCCTAGTCATTTCATGTCCAGTAATTTGCCCTCTAAAAACAACTAGAGATGTGTGAAGTGTTACTTATAGAAGCAAAAAGCTGCAATAACAGAGAATTGGTTGAGAAAGTTGAGGCACATCCATAAAAAGGAATAAATACCATGTCGGCATTAAAGCTTATTTACTGACATACCCATTTATTGACATAATTGCTCTTTAAAAATCATGTATATTTAACATAGGTAAAATCCCAATTACAGCTTATTATAACACTGTTTATTATGTCAAATCCTTGAAATAATTGTTATAACTTTCTAGTAATTCTTATCTTCTTCAATTTTTTAATGCACTCTACTTGATTTACTCAGCTATTCAGTTTGCCACTTGTTTCAAGACTCGATCAGTCAAAGCCATACATACATTCTATCTTTCAGCTGCTAAATTAAAAACATTTTATGGATTGTTTTCATCCTTTGAAGGCATACAGCTTTAAAGCCATACTATGGTTTCAAATGAAGCATGTGTACATATTATAAAACATGTATGTAATTTATTTTTACATTTTAATGTTAGTGGTTCCTTATACATATCTCTTTATGCACTAGTCACAACTTCATAAATCAGAAGCTGAATCTCATTTTCTCTCCTTAAAACAAATGTAAGAATTGCCTTCCAAAGCTTTATTTTTTCTTTCACAGAAATCACAGAAGTGGAGTACAAAGAAGAAATGCTCAGAACTAAATGAATAACAGCTCAAAGAAAGTATTAAAGAAATTAAAAATATAAATAAAATGCTATTTGAATCCTTTTATAAACATGGACAGATTTTTTTTTTCCTCCCATAGAATTCTATTAGAAGCTGAAGAAATTTCACGCAATCATAGATATGTACTTTTAATTTGAACACCAGTTCTCTTTTTAAAAAGCAGTAAATGCTTCCTCTTTGCTAAGAACTATTTTTGTACCTATACGCTACTCAAAAATTCAGTTAAACCCTTGTTGCTTACTAGTCTTTGTTCTGCTTACATTATTAAAAGCATGAACAAAAATGGCCTCATGTTCCTTTATTTGAAATTTATGAGGTTGCCTAACATTGGAACTAAAATATTTCCAGCATATTAATGGGAAGATATTATAATTTGGGAAGCTGATTGATACCATCATAACACTACAATATACTATGTTAGGAGTCATTGAATTTTTTTAAGTACTGTGATGCTTCCAAATAAAATTAGAGCCTATGACAAGTGGAAGAAAGCAACATGAGGAATTCAAGAAGATGATATTCATTTGCACAACAAGCAGTGATGAAGAGCTGACATCACTAAGGACCCTGACAGGGCCTGTGGGGGGGTGAATGACACGTGGAAGAACATGACAAAGCGTTCCAAAAGAAGAATTAGAGCACTGAGTTAGTGGGATCCAGGGCAGGGCTGGAAAACCAACCTAAGGAGGAAATATTCGCAGAAGAGGTACACACTGCAATTTTTTGGTACCAGAAAGAATCCCATCATGCATTCTGTGGCTTTCTTGGGTAGTTTAAAAATTTACAGAATCCAATTCATCCCCTATAACAAATATGCTTCTACACAGACTACAAAATCAAGCAGTCATCAAAGCTAACAGTCATTTTAAAATTTCTAAAACCTTGGCCTATATTCAGTTTTTGTCAATTTCTGCCTAAATGTAAATCATGCCTTTTTTCCCCCCTCTAGTTACTTTCCAGCTACAATTGACAGGGATTTTTTTCATGATAAATTCTAGAGTTACCTTTTTGTCTAGAGGAGTAGAGGGTAGGGGTGAGGGGAGGAGCTGAAGGCAACTCCTTTATAATATTTTGGGGTTTCTGGACCATTTGATGATTTTTAATTATTTTTTTCTCTTTTAATGCCTGCAGTTTTACTTTAAATATTTTCTTTGAATCTATTTAATTTAAACAGGAGACAGCAATTAGTGTCTCAAAAATTAATGTAACTCTTTAATAAAACAAAAAAAAAAAGGAGGATGAAAACTAGACTGTGCTCCTGGTTTAATCTCCTGACTTAGATTTATAACTAAATAGAGGCAATAATTTTTTTAAATGAAAAATAGACCCCAAATAGCTAAACAAATCAATTTTTCATATACTGCTTTTTATTCAAATTTCATTAAAAATATATTCATAGTGAAATCACGATTATTCTCCTTGCCAAGAAATGTGAGAGAGTAGCAAAAGGGAGGAGCAACTTGGAAGAGATGGTGTCACACATTACAGAAGAGGATGATAATTTTGGTGAAGTGGTAGGATGAATTGAATCTCCCTGTAAGATTGTTCTGACATTAAAAATAACAACAAACATCTCATTTGAAAAGATTAATCTGTCTCCAAATAGCTGATAATATATTGTGGAACCATAATGATTTTAGGCATTATCAAATTAAATTCCCATATTTTGCACACTAGCAACTTATATATCCACTCAGTAAGCTGTTTTCCGCTGGTAACTTGAATTCCTGTTTTAAAACTGTGCCAACTCCTCTTGGGTGTTCTGGTGATGAAATAATTTTCCTTAAGCTTTAGCCAAGACTTTTTCACTACAGTATCTTATGAAAAAGCCACAACGCTAGGGTAGACCACAATGACCAGATTGGGGAAAATAACTATTTTAGGAAGTTATTTTGATGTTTAAAATAATGGGGGAGGGAAGATGCATTAAAAATAATATGCTAATTTTTTGTATATAATCTTATTCCATACACCTAGTCAACCGAGTAGTAAATTACTGATTTTTTTTTTATGCTGGATATGCTATGCTTGTTTAAAATATCTCCTGCTCTACATAGTAGTAACTTAAGATGCTAAGAAATCAAACCAAGAAAGAATAATGTTTAATAATAATGAGCTCAGGGAATGGGTAAACAAAGATATCACTAAGAGTAGAAAGTTATGACTACTCTAAAACACTTTTTGACCCAAGGAATCCTAGCCATTTGAAGCATATTCTCTACTGCTCTCACACCCGAACATATCTGAAAATCATTTAACTCAAAAAAAGAGACAAATTAGTTATGAGACTCACAGACTTCTATAGGACACATAGTGTTACAAGTTCACAGTGTTTCTCCCTCAATATATATAATTTTGGAAGGTTGTTAAAAATGTGACAATACCACCATCTTGGAAAAAGTGGCAATGGCATAGTCTAGCTGAAAGGTGAGAAACTGACCTGATTGATGGAGTTGGCAGCACAGGATGCGAGGCCTGTCCCAACAGAAGTAAGCAGGAAACAGGGCCAGTCGAAAGGTCCTGGAGCCAATGCAAATCCAGCTGAAGTGGTACTTACAACTAGAGCTGCAATATAGAAACAAAGCAGACGAATCATTACCAGTAAGATTCTCAACTGTAAAAGCCAAAAGACAAAGAACAAGTCATCTTTTATATAAGTCAATCAATCATATTAATAACATAAACTATAGGCTAATCTTTTGCTTTAAAAAATCGACATTTTTCTGATGATAAAAATTATACATGTTAATTACAGAAAAATGTTAATTTTCTTTTAATGCCATACTCGAGTAAAAAATAAGGTAGGTCATCCAGATTCAATTATTCACATATTCATTCAATGAACATTTACTGAATACCAAATCCATAGTCAGTATGTATTGTCAGGAATAAAGTTGTACAAGGTCTCATTCTTGCTCTTGGGCAATTTGACAGGGAAACAGGGGCCTCAATTCTGCGACAAACTCCAGATAAGTCTATAAGATGGTCCTGGGGGACAGAGATGAGTAGAAGGAGATGATAATCCTACAGCTACCAACAGGAATCCAGGGAAGAGGCAAGATTGCAGAAGCAAAGCCAGGCAAGTCAAGCATCCACCAAAGCTGCTCCTTTTTTGGTAGGTCCTGGTGCTTATTTTCTGGAGTTTATAGAAGCTGAAAGGGCTGAAAACTGTCTAAGAGTGATGCCAATACAGAGCTGTAGAAAATCACTGGAAAAAGAATCAACATTGGTGGGCTAATCTAGCAAAGCATCAAGAAGATAGCATTTTAAGTTGGATCTTCAAGAGGGGATGCAGAGAAGGGAAAGGAATGGTGGGGTAAGCTACACCACAGGTAATGGATAATTCCAAGAACAGGAACAATGGAACAAGGGCACAAAGACCCATGTCAGGAGTCTAACGCGTGTGTGACACCATCTACCTAGATTCTCAAACCAAAAACCTAGGAAGCATTTTTAATTATCTCCTTTCTCACTCTCTATATTCCATTCACTGCAAAGTACTAACTGTTCTACCTCTACAGAGTATTTCAAACCTATCTCAGTACTACCATCTAGTTCAGTGGTTCTTAACCAGGAGTGGTTTTGCCCCTCAGGGGACATTTACTAATGTCTGGAAACATTTTTGGTTGCCAGAACTGGAAGGGAAGAGATCTATCCGTGTTCTAGCGGGAAGAGGTTGGGGATGCTTCTTAACAACCTACAGTGCATAGGACAGCACCCCACAACAAAAAATTTTCAGGCCTAAAATGTCACTAGTGCCAAGATTGAATAATTCTGAACCAGTCCAAGCAATTACTGTAAGAGTCTCCTTTGTAACTAGTATCATTGCTTCCACCTTGCTTCTCTCCAGAGTGATATCTTTAAAATGTGAACAGATCATATCACTTTGCTGCTTTGAAAATTTGGAGAAAATGTTAACTCTCCCTTGCCAACAAGTGTACCCCACTCTTCTCTTGAACTCATTCACTATTCACCAATCATGAGGGACTTCTGCTCTTTGAGCATATCAAGCACTTTCTTGCCCCAGGGTCCCTGTATTTTTGTTTCCTCTGTCCATTTCCATGGCTGGTTCCTTCTCATCCTTCAGATTTCTTCTTAGGGAGAACCTTCCTGATTATCTCATCTAAAGTAGGCCTCCCCAGTTACTCCCTCACATCACCTTTTTATTTCCTCTATGGCACTGATCATTCTGGCTCCTCATGAAAGGTAAGTCTATGAGGCAGGAGCCCTGTCTGTGTCATCCATTGCTATATTTTCAAAGCCACCACTGTGCCAGGCATAGAGTAGGGATGGTGGCTGCCAGATTGCAGAATATCAAGCTGAGAAGCTTACAGTTTGCTTAGTTGGCAGTAAAGAGTCACTGAATGAGATCTATAATTGGAAGTTTAGCCTGATAACAAGATGCACCATAATTTATAGACAGGGACAGAGAGTTCTGCAGAGAAACATTTTAAGACGGTATACCAGTAATCCACTGTGAATAAGGGTAGTAAAAGTGGGAACTGAAGAGTTATAAGGTATATTTTAGTAAGAGAATTGTTAGGACCCGGTAACTATGAAAGGCAGGAAGACAAAATAAAACAACAACAGAGAATGAAAGGTAAAGTGTTGCACTTGGGTGACATAGAGAGGAATTATACCATTAACAGACATAAGGAAATTGGGAAAAGAGGTGATGGAGATAGCCAACCTTAGGAAAACTTGCTGTTTCTGAGGAACCATGGGACGATGTCTAGGTAGAAATATAGAGAAAGTAGATGAAAATAAAGCTCAGGAGAGAGACTTGGGAGACAGGAGAGGAAAAAGCTCTGCAATCAGCTGCCTAGAGACCAGGGCTGAACCTGAGGGAATGGATGAGATCCTCAGTGGGCAGCACGTGCTGTGGAAAGAAGAGTATGAGACAAGTCAGATCTTTACAGATGGCGGCGGGGAATGAAAGACAGACAATATTTGGAGACAAGCACCACAAGCACCATTAGGATGAGGTGGCATGGTTGTCCAATAACCATTAGGATGAGGTGGCATGGTTGTCCAATGTGAGGGGCCACAGGAAGCATGTTAGGAAGGCATTGCTACTGACATCAGCACATACATACCAGAGAAAATGACAGTTCCTCTTAATGATCACAAGTCAGTTGGCATGTCTTTCAATCCAGTCTTTTTTTTTCTGTTTAAAATTTTTTATTTTAAAGATGTGGGGTACAATTCAGGGTTAGGTATACAAATGTTCATTATGCAGGTACCCTTTTTGATGAGGTGTGCTTCCTCCCTCCTCTGGTAGATTCCTACTACTGCCAATCCCGCCCCACCCCCTTGGCAGTTTCCCACTACTGTCAATCCTTTTATTATGTATTAAGCTAACTGTCCAAGGTCTGCTTATGAGTGAGAACATGTAATATCAGTTCTTTGTTTCTGTGATAGATCATTCAGTATTATAGACTCTAAGTTCATCCAAGATGCTGTGAAATTCATAATGTTGTCCTTTTGTATGGCTGCATAATATTCCATTGTGTATATGTACCACAACTTTTTTATCCAGCCCTTTTATGATGGGCCACACGGTTGGTTCCATGTTTTTGCTATTGTGAACAATGCTGCAATAAATATATGTGTGCAGTTATGTTTTTCATAGAGTGATTTGAATTCGTCCCGGAATATTCCCAGTAGGGGTATTGCAGGGTCATGCAGAAGGTCGATTTTTAGATCTTTTAGGAATTGCCAAACTGTTTTCCACAGAGGTTGTACTAGTTGACACTCCCACCAACAGTGTAGAAGTGTTCCCTTTTCCCTGTATCCTCTTCAGCATCTGTTATTTTTTGAGTTATTGATGGTGGCCATCCTGACTGAAGTTAGGTGGTATCTCAGTGAGGTTTTAATTTGCATTTCTTTGATGACTAGTGAGTATCTGTTGGCTGCTTGTATGTCTTCTTTTAGAAGTGCCTATTCATATCTTTTGCCCACTTTGTAATGGGGCTGTTTTTTTCTTTTCAGCATAATTGAGTTCCTTGTAGATCCTACATGTTAGGCCTTTGTCAGACATAAAGTTGGCAAATATTTTTTCCCAGTCTGTGGGCTGTCTCCCTGCTCTCTTGATGGTTTCTTTGGCTTTGCAGAAGAGCTTGTCAGTTTGATAAGGTTCCACTTAACTATCTTATCTCTTACGGCATGGGCACTTGGTTTTTGATCAGGAATTGGATGCCAGCTCCAATTTCCATAAGGGTGCCTCCTGCATTTTCTAAGGTTCTTATAGTTTGAGGTTTTACATATAGGTCTTTGATCCCTTTAGAGTTGATTTTGTGTATCAGGGCAGGTTGGGGTCTTGTTTTAATTTTCTGTATGTGGTCAGCCAGTTTCCCAAGCACCATTTACTAAATAGGTTCTCCTCTCCCCAGTGGTTGGTAGTAGTGGAGGTTTTGTCGAAGATGAGTTGATTGAGAAATTGAGGTTTTGCTTCGGCAATCTCTATCTTGTTCCATTGGTCTATATGCCTGTTCTTGTATCAGTACCAGGCTGTTTTGATTATCGTAGTTTTATAATAAAGTTTAAAGTCCGGAAATGTGATACCTTCCACTTTGTTTTTGTTTTTCGTTTTTTTTGCTGAGGATTGTTTTGGTTATTTGTGGTCATTTATGTTTCTTTATTAATTTCTATATTGTTGTTTCCAGGTCTGAGAAGAATGCTGCTGGTAATTTAATGGGCATTGCGTTAAATCTGTAGATTGCTTTAGGTAGGATGGACATCTTAACGATGTTGATTCTTCCAATTCATGAGCATGGAATATTTTTCTGTTTGTTTGTGTCATCTTTGATTTCTTTGAGCAGTGTTTTGTAGTTTTTGTTGTAAAGGTCTTTGACTTCTCTGGTTAGGAAGATGCCAAGGTCTTTTTTTTTTTTTTTGTGGCTACTGTGATTGGGATTGTGCTTTTTATTTGGGTTTCTGTTTATTTTTGGTATATAGGAATGCAACTGTCTTTTGTGCATTTATTTTATATCCAGAGATTTTGCCAAAGTCCTTTATCAGTGCAAGGAGGTTTTTGACAGATTCTCTTGGATTTTCAAGGTACAGAATCATGTTGTCTGCAAAGAGGGATAACTTGACTTTCTCTTTTCCTATCCTTCTCTTCTTTTGTCTGATTGCTCTAGCTAGGACTTCCAAAACTATGTTGAAAAAGAGGGGTGAGAGTGGGCATCCTTGTCCTGTTTTGGTTTTCAGGGGAAATGGTTCCAATCTCTGTCTGTTTAGTAGTATGTGGGATGTGAGTTTCTTGTAGATAGCTCTTACTATTTTGAGGTATGTTCCATCTATGCCTAGATGTTCGAGGGTTTTTTTTTAATCAAAAAAGAGTGCTGGATTTTATCAAAAGCTTTTTCCGTGTCTAATGATATAATCATGTGGTCTTTGCTTTTACATCTGTTGATGTATTTCAGCAACTTTTGAGATTCTTTATAGCTCTACCATATGGAAAAGCCCCTTACCTGATATCTAGATGGGACACAGGTTTCTTGATATTGCTACATTTCTTTGGTTCGGTTCAATGGTCATTTGCAAAGTGACATAATTGT